ATATTTATCTGAGTACAGTCCTACCCCCCAACTTTATGGTTGATTTTATGGATTTAATTTACGTATTATACTTGAATAAATACGGTACATTCTTTTAGAAATGTCTACCATCTGTTGTTAACCTCATAATGTTCTCCAACAAAACAAATGAGGAACTATTAGACCAGATCCTCGTCTTGTTTCATGGACCCAGGATCCTGATCTGTCCCGTCACGTGGAATAAGAGTCTRGTTACACCTCCAGTTAATAATGGCTCCYTCTTTCATACAATAATCACTTTGTCAGAATGGAGCACTGAAACTCCTCATCAGAGCAGTTTGGAGGYGAAARTGAGCCTTTCACCCTCCTTCATCCTCCTCCTCCTCTGTCAGAAAGGTGAACAGGTGAGCCTCCGCTCGCCCGGAGCGTCTCTCCTGTTTCTGTGATCACTGAGAGCAGCAGCTGCTCTTCGAATCACCGCTCGCCTCCTGCTGTATTGTTCCTCAGTCTGCGGAGGGGGAGGAGTCTGTCTGCGCCGCCYAAAACACTGAAACCCGAGCAAGACGAGAGAAACCCCGCGACCTTCAGGGACCAAAACACCAACATTTACCTGTAATTTAACCACCGAGGGCCACTTAAAGCTGCGACTCCTCCAGCATGGTTTAATATATTTCACTAACTCATCTAGAGCTGAAAATCTAGAAATCAAACAGGACAGATTTACYAGATAATCCTAAAAATGCCTGTAACTGTACATAAAGGTCAGCATGATTAGCTGCAGCAGCCTGCAGAGCAGCGCAGAGATAAGAATGTCTTYATCTGCCTGTAATTCTTCTGGACATTACTTCAGCTCAACATGACCCTAAACCCCTCATTCACCAGCCGCTCTGTGGTGACGACCCTCTGCTGCTCACCAGCTACACAGGAAGTCTTTGTTCCAGCTGTCAGCAGCAGCACAGCGAGGGGAGAGCGAATCCACCCAAACTGCTCTGATTAGTGTTTGTTAGGAGACAATTAAACTTACATTTAATAATTCACTGTAGGAACTGTGCAAACTCTAAAAGATGTCCCACTTCAGATAAAAATAAAGCATCTAAGAACTTCTGACTACTACACCCTAATTCAACCTGTGAAGGTGAGCAGATATAAACCGACCCCGCCCCCAAAAAAAGTTTTAAATCAAATTTAACTTTAAAATCTTAACAAGACCCACTGTGAGCCCTGCTCCAAACGATGCAACGCAGACCCAGACGAGTTTTTACTAAATCTTGATCCCAYATTCTGCTCCGGATCTCTTTAAGGTGTCCCAACAGGTGTGGAGAAAACACAAACACTCATCTGTGACAATCAAGTTCACTGAGTTTTGTTTCAATACAAAGACCAAATCAGACAGAAAATACTTTTTTATTATTATTGAAAACATCCTGCAAAATCCACTGATTCAGCTGTTAAATACATTTTGTTGTGGACTTGGAGTCTCTAAGAGGCAGAAAAGTAGAATTCGCATAAGTAAAAGTTGATCTGAGACACACCCCAAAAAGGGGGCGGGGCTTGTGGAGTTACAATAACAATAAGCATCACATTTCTACTTTAGCTAGATTAAAAGAAGGATTTCAAAGCAGGATATGTCTATTTTAAAGAAAAACTAAATAATGCAACAAGATTTTATCACATTTAAACAGAGTAAATAAAGGTAAATAAAATAAAATCAGCATTAAATCTATTAAATCCACCATTTTCTACAGTGAAAGCTTTATTTTTAGACTTAAAAACATGTTTTACTCCCATATGARGGACAAAAGTTGACATGTTTTTTGTCTTTATAAGTTACAAATATTTAATATAAAAAATAAGTTGAAGGTTTGAAGTTACTTCAGGATTTTTACTGAAAACAAAGAGTCAAACTTTAATAAACAGTTGTGTGTCAGTATTAACCGGAGGCACATGGGTTGGGAGGAGAAGAATCTGTTTGTTTTGCCTGATTTTTATCTTAATGTTGATTAAAAATAATAAAAAGTTACCRTGTAAGTGTTTATTAAATGGTCATGCAGGTGGTGTGAACATTTATTTCTCACCTGGCCGTAGTCTGTAGCAAAGACCACCACACCTCCAGAACAGGAAGACACGGAGCTGGGCAGATACTGCTCCTCCTCCCGTAACCAAACCCGATCACCCTGGAGAAAAAAATAAATAAAAAAAAAATATGTCAGGTTTACTGTGAGAATCAAGACTTTTTATAAATCAGSAGCACTGAGGCTCTTCCTGAAGTTTAAAGACATTAATGCTCTGATGGTTCAGTTTCTTTAAACATGTAGACAACATCTGTGGTCACCATGGAGAGACGCAGGTCCTGACCTCCATCCAGGAGACGTTCCACATGACAGCGTCTTAAAGTCACACGTGTTGAGTTTCACAGGTCCTTCTACCTGCAGCTGCTAAACCTGTAAACCTACAGCTGCTAAACCTGTAAACCTACAGCTGGTAAACCTGTAAACCTACAGCTGGTAAACCTGTAAACCTACAGCTGGTAAACCTGTAAACCTACAGCTGGTAAACCTGTAAATCTACAGCT